GGGCTCCCCAAGGCCTTTTCGTGACGTGGCCGGGTGTTGGGCCTCCCCCCCCCGCACCCTTCTCCTGGCATTAGTGGGGGTTCGGAGGGGGGGATTCGTTTGGCAGCAGGGCCAAGTCCTCAGCGCACCAGTTTGCTTTTGTGTTTTGGTGGTTTTTTTAGGGATTCTGGGGGGATGGGACCTAGCCGGGGTGGTTCGGGCACGTTCTGGGCCGTGTGTCCCCTCCACAGATTTTGCTGGAAACGTGTGGGTTTGAGGACAGTAAAATCAGTCTCGTTCTGTCTGAGGGGAGGCTGCAGAGTCGCAGTGACTCATCGCGGGGTGTCGGGAGCCCACGGATGTGACTCAGGACTCTTCCAGGGTAGACACAGGTTAATCTTTTCAGAACCGTGCCTCGACAGTGCGGCATTTTCTGAGGCCCCCAAGCTTGCGGGTCGTTGAGCCCGAGCAAATCCTGTTCCGTTTCCCCAGAGGGAATGTGCTTTTTCTTTTTTTTTCCAGCCTAGAATAGCAGACCTGCGGCCTGGCCTGCTCACTTCACCCTTCACGAGGTAGATTTATGGGTCGGGGATTTACGGTCTGGTCGCTGTCCTCAGGGGAACGGCTTGCAGATCCTTCCTGCCTTGTGTGAGAGAGACAAGCTTTTGCAACGCGTGTAATCCGGCTCTCAGGTGTTGGGAGTGCGTTGAAACAGTGCTGGTAGGAAAGGAGGCTGCTCTTAAAACAGAGACCTGCAGTTCCCCCAGGCTCACCTTGCTGGTGGAGCAGGCGTACTCCCGAGCCGGAGCGGGATGTGTGGGCTGGAGGCGGCTGGGGGAGGCGGTTGCTTCCCCTGGTGACTCGGTGGCACGCCGCCGCATGTGGGGGGTGTCCCCAACACCCTCCAGCTGTTACCCCGGGCGCCTGCAATAAACCCGCCCCCGTGGGCAGTCGCAGTGGCGGGGCGGGGGCCCTTTGCCCCTGCATGCTCTGAGCCTGCCGGGAGCTGTGGGTCTTTCCGCGGGTGGCTTGGGCGCGC